TCAAGAGTCAGACACTCAACCCACTAAGCCACCCAGTCTCCCCAACCTCTATTTAATTCTTATGAACACCTCTACTTTTTGTTTCTTAAAAACCCCAAATCTAGTTTATCAAGGATTGTGCCTAAGTATATATAGTATAATTAAAAGGCCATATAATCTCCCCAACCTTTCAATATTGGAGTACCTCCCAGCTCAGTGATGGAATCACTTCTGTTTTTATGTATTCATTCATCAATGAATAGATATTCATCTCATTGAGTCCTATGGCTTTAAATGCTACCTACATGTAAATTTATATCCAATAATTTTATCTCCAGGTCAGACTTTTCCTTGAATCTCAAATTCAGAGATCCTACTGTCTACTCAACATTGCTTCTTGGGTGTCTAATAGACATCTCGGTCCTGATGTGCCTAAATCTTTGCTCACACTTCCAGTGCACCCTTCTTCCTGCACACCCCTCCCCCAGACACATACTTGTACCTCCTCTAGCAGTCTTTCCATTTCAATAAATGGCAATTCTATTCTTCCAGTTGTTCGACCCGAGTCCTTGGCGTCATTCTTGATTCTTTTCCTTTAGCCACACCCCCCATTAAATCCATCAGGAAATCCTCTTGGATATTTCTGGAATCCTCGTATGACCACTCCACCCTGGTCTAAGCCATCATCTCTCACCTAGATTGTGGCCGTGGCCTTCTATCTGTCCCCCTACAGTCTATACTCAAGAAGGCAGCCAGAGTTGTAGAATCAGATCATGTCACTCTGCTTAAAATCCACAAGGGATTTGGGGTCCCTGGGTGGCTCGGTCGGTTAAGCAGCCGACTTTGGCTCAGGTCATGATCTCACAGTCCCAGAGTTCAAGCCCCGCATCGGGCTCTGTGCTGACAGCTCGGAGCCTGGAACCTGCTTCAGATTCTGTGTGTGTGTCTCTCTCTGTGCGCCCCACCCCCCTCACGTTCTGTCTCTCTCCATCTCTCAAAAATAAATAAAAATGTTTAAAAATTAAAAAAAGCATTAAAAAAGAATCTGCAAGGGGTTCATATGGCACCTGTGGGAAGGCGCAGCGGGGGATGAAGGAAGCCCAAGTCCCTGCAATAGCCTGCAAGGCTGTCCATCTGGCTCTCGATACTTTTCTGATCTCATTTCGTGCCGACCGCCGCTCACCACACTCAATACACTGGCCTTCACGTTATGGTTCCCTGACCACAGACTCTCCGCCTACAAGGACCTTGTAGCTGTGGTTCCCAGGACTAGTCCTTCCTCCCACAGACTTTGAACTCTTCTCCCTCAAGGCACCTTCCTGTCCCCTTCACCACCACCACCACTCAACATGCTACTAGTTTTTCTCCTGAGCACTTACACCTTGCACAAACTCTGATTTTGCCTATCTCCCCCCTCCCTTCCCTCCCCTGCCTGTCCTCTGGCCAGAGTGGGAGGGGCTTTACCTGTGTGTTTCCCGCTGTGTCTCCTGCCCCTACACTACCTGAGACAAGGCTGACACTCAGTATTTGCTTAATAAATGAACCATACGTTTAGATAATTTAATGGGTGAGGGAAGGTATTATGTAATAGATTGGAAAACTAAGGAGAGAACAGGCTTGTAGTTGTCTCTATTTCTGATGCTAAAATGGCTGCCTTTTGTTTCACATTTTTCTCACTACATTTGCACATTATTCATTTCATTTTCATCAACTCCTTCACTGACACACAGCATTGGAATCCGTACCAGCAAAATCACACACGAGTTCTACATCTTGGCATTGAGCTTCAGAAAGATACCGTACCTAAAATTTCCTACAGTTCTTTCAGTTTTCGTTTATGAAAACAGGTTTTCAAATGAACCAGGTTAAAAGGCAGCAAAGCAGCAGCATCGGGAATTACACACACACACACACACACACACACACACACACACACCCAGCTAACTGGGCCACTGTGGGTGCTCCCAGCTTCCGCCTTCCCCTTCCCCATGAGGTGCTCTGAAGGTCAAGCAGGGATGGAGCATACAAAGCCCCCCCTGCAGGCAGCAGTCTTCTCTACCAACTTCTCCACGCTGGTTCACCTGAGGAAACTGGCCAGGGAGCGGGCAGGGTTGAGTGAGGAATTATGTGGACTGAGGAGAGATGTGAAATATGAATAAATGAACGCACGCATTTGCAAACCTCTGCTCCCCAGGGGAACTGCTGTCAGAACATTACCTGGCAGGATTATTAGATCTTTATTTTCAGTTTTAAACCGCATGCATGCACCCAGTCACTGTGGACAAGAGTGACATCACTGGGGCACCTGGGTGGCTCAGTTGGTTAAGCGCCGCACTCTTGATTTCAGCTCAGGTCATAATCTCAGAGTCGTTAGATCGAGCCCCGTGTTTGGCTCTGCTCTGCCCTGAGCCTGAGTGTGGAGCCTACTTGGGATTCTCTCTCTTCCTCCCTCTCTGCCCCTTCCCTGCTTGCGCTCTCTCGCTCTAAATAAATAAACATTAAGAAGAAAAAAAGAGGAACATCACTGACATGCCCCTGCCATCAGGGCATTTCTCAACTTTTTCTACATCATGGCAGGTGATGGTGGGAATTCTCTGAAATTCCCAGGTGACCAGCCTGGGAGCTCCGGCCACCTTAGGCCCTGCCCAGCTGGCCCTAGAAGCCTGAGACCAGTAGCTTGAGGCAAACTACTATGAAGCTCTAGGGAATAAAACTCAAGCCACTGGTGAACATTTACTCCGGGGCGGGTGGTGGGGGCGGGGGGGGGGGGGGGGGGGGGGGGGGGGGGGGGGTGCACTCTGATCGACACTATGAACTTACACCCACCTCAAGCACAGCAAAGGCATTGGATACACTGAACTGCATTGAAGCAGTGTCGCTGGCCTTATATTGTATAAGTGGGTTTTCGTTCTACAATTCAGAGTAGGCTCCCCTTGTTTTAGTCTCTTTAGTTTGCTACTAAACTGTTTTTTAAAATAAAAATGTAAATGCTGAGCAAATTACTCAAGTATCACAAGTCCGTCAACACAAAATCACGGTAACCCACGTGACATTGCAAGTTTATTTTTATGCACATGTTAAAAGAGGTAGGAAATGTGTGATTTTGTAAAGCACACCCTGGAAAATGAGGCACCATTTCTGAATGGGGTTGTATTTCTCAGTACATTTATACAGTACTGGAAACCCACCTCAACTTTCCAAAGGACAGCTTTCTACAGAGCACAGCACAGCCACAACGGGCTCTCCAGCCGAGTCTCCCACAGTCCACAGAACTGCATGGTGCTGGACTGTGCTGAGGAAGGGAGACACAGGCCAACTCCGATCCTACTTTGCCATTCAGTGGCGCTAAGTACCAAGAAACAGAAATAAAAGCCAAATAGATTGAGGAGCGTTGAATATTTAATGAACTCATGTAGCGTAAAACAATACAAATGTGTGTCATTTTAAAACTTTACTGTGAAGAATTAGGGTTTTTGCATTGTATTAATGGTAACTGGTTTAGTAAGTGTAAAAATGTTTATCGAAAAACAAAATCCCAATGAAATTATAAGTAAAATTACTTTTATTTTCATAAATAAAAAGATAATGCATTATACAAACAACACTTTTGTTGGCGGTCATTATCCAGTTTAAACGAAGGGCGAAAATATACGCAACACTTAACACAAAGTTACACCCTCTACAACCTTCATGCAGCTGCTTGATGTGTGTCACCTTCCCAAATTTCCAACGCCACTTCAAAGAAGATATATAATGGGGTATTTTAGTCACAAAGCGTCACTTTTGCTCAGTCAACACAGTATTTCTTACTTGCTCATGTCGAAGTTGCCAATTATTGATTTAAAGTAATACCAGTATTTCCTGCATTTTACAAAAGCACTGAACATATGACATGTTTTCATTCCATATATGGTAGTATAACCCCCAAGTGTCAACGTGAAAATTTAGCAACTAGGTTAATGAGTACTAGTACCCAAGATAAATAGGTCCTACGAGGCCGAGAAGAACAAGCCGGCACAAGTTTAAAGTTTTGTCCATAAATGGCAAACAGCAAACAGACGAGTGATTTTGTAGTGTCACGTAATATACAGTGAAATTTCATTAAAGTATGTTTCTGTAGACAGCAAAATAAAGGTAAAAGTCCAGTTATTACTCCACTTATTCTAGAAACTGCAGTTTCAAATATTAAATGCTATACACTAGTTATTAGCGTTTCCGTATGTTAAAAAAAAACTCTCACTGATTCTTTGTAGTTTTCAAGAGTGAAAACTACGACTTAAGTAATTCTTTGCACACAATACTGATTCAGGTAGGAATAATCTCTTTATTCTTCACCATGAAATGTTTACTCCTATTTCAACACCTTATGCAGATTTCACTTGTCTGTCACAGGGCTACCACGTGGAGTCAATGGTTTACCTACGTAAGTGTTGAGCAGAGTGCCGGGCACGTAGTAAGCTCTCAATATACACTATTTCTATTAAGTGAACCAATCTGTCATTTGTAATAGGAAAATTAGCTAACGCCCCAGAAGAATAATCAAAAAAGATAATACTACAGACGTGTGACTTTTGTTAAAGCAGCATGCATCCACTATTTCCCAAGTCTGTGTACACGCTAAACTGTTTCAAATATTACAAGCTGATTTTAAGTTCATACTATATGTTTGCTCTTGTTTTTGCTATGGCCTTTGGCCTAAAGCAATACGATTCTGATAGGATGTGTAAATTAGAAGACCATATAGAAATAACGCACACTGAAATCAGTAACGAAGGCATCTTAACCATAACTTCTGTGACCAAAAAGTAGAGTTAGCAGTGTAATTCAGGACAACCTATCTCGCTTAGGGTTGATGTTTTTTCTTTACATCGTGAAATACCTGACTTCTGCAAAAACGTTTCATTGTGTTCTCTCACATGGGAACATGAAGAGCTGTCACAAAGTTCTGTCCTCGAAGTAAAAAACCCATTAGAAAAAGTACTTGTAAAAATCACTGTAGGTTTATTGAAGCTGAAGTAAAGTGCAGGGCTACCAGAACAGAAGTTCTTAAATGGTCTCAAAATACCTATAAACACTGATTTTTTGGAACAAATTATAGCTTCTTACAAATGTAAGGGATGTGAAGAGAACACAAGTCTGTGTGACAACATAATGGAAAGAGGAAGAAAACTGTTAAAAACCAACTCCTGTCATTCTTCTGGTATCAGGTAAGAGGAAGGAAAATAAAACTTTTGTGTGTGAAGATAGAAAGACATACCTGATGCCACGTGATTCTGGCCTATATTAACCTGAAACTTACTACAACCTAGACTTTGAAGAAAAAAAAACCCAACCCCCAAATACGCCCTTCAGGGGCACAGTAAAATCTTTTACATGTTGTCCTGATTAAAAAGGGTTTGGAAACAAAGCATGAAACATCTCTCCTATATTAAAAATCAAGAACAAATAAACTGAAGGCAGATTCCCTCCGAATGTACTAAATCATTCTACGGGCTTCAGAGAAAACCTTTTAAGAAATACGAACTGAAGTCCCAGGGTTTATCTTATCTACTAGTAGAGAAATTCGAAGTGCACATTTTATCAGTGTATTTTAGGAGATGGAACATCCCGTGTCCTTCTGAGGTCTGGTATCTGGTTCTCTGACAGGCTTCACTGCTTCTTCTGCTTTGGGTTTGGTCTAGGGAGAAAAAAGAAATACAGTTTTAAGTACATAATAAACTAAGATTTGGAAAACAAACACTAGGTCTTTTCCACCTTAGACTTTTTATTTTTATTTATCTTTACTTTTATTTTTTTTTATGTTTATTTTATTTTTGAGAGAGAGAGAGACAGAGACAGAGCGTGAGCGGGGGAGGGGGAGACACAGAATCCAAGGCAGGCTCCAGGCTCTGAGCCAGCAGTACAGAGTCCGACACGGGGCTCAAACTCACGAACCGTGAGATCCTGACCCGAGCCATAGTCGGACGCTTGACTGACTGAGCCACCCAGGCGCCCCCACCTTAGGCTTTTTAAAGATGTTGTATTAAATTATCCAACGCTGAAATTAACAAAGCTTTTCCAAACGCTACATATCAATTCAATTTAAGAAGTAATCAGAAAGCAACGCTTCAGTGAAGATGAAAACCTAGGCAGGCAAACATCAAGCTAATGGTGCTTGCACTCTTTCTGAGGACGGAGAAACTGAGTGATGAGTCTCTGCATGTGGAACTGGTAAGTTTGAAAATATCTCAGGACAGTAACAGGCTACTTCGTATTGCATTATTTTAGAGGCTGACCAGGATAAAAAGACAGTCATTTTAAGTACTAATGGTTTCAGAATGGGTAGGAAATTATATAAAAACCCAATGTCAAGGAAGGAGCTATGGCTGCAAATTAATTCCCATTCCCTATTTTTCACAGACCCCTCCTCTTCGGGCAGTCAGACCATAAATTTCCCACTTAATCTCATCTTTGATTTAGTACACCAACATGTACTTAGATATAAATGAATAAAAGCAGTCTTATTTTACCCCTGGATGATTTCATGGAACGTTGAAATAAGGTCAAATCTTCAAATACCCTGCAGCAGCTAAATCAAAAACAGAATATTGCTATAGCAATATAAACACGGATAAGCCATCCATCCTTAGACGACTTCTCCCACATGTTCCTAAAGGAGGCTCCGATAAATTGTAAAAAGATAATGTGTTGAAAACAGCCTCAGTTATGTAAGAAATCAGAAGATAATTAAGGCCTAGAGATTGAATCTCTGACACAATTCAACAACACACATCACACCAACACTGCAGTTAGCTAACTTAACATTTAGACAAAGATACATATGTGTATATATCTAGATCTACTTAAGTAGAGAAAAATAACAAAATGCTAACTCTGAATTCTCTTTTTAAACCTCTGTGAACAAACGGAAAAAAGCCAGTCTCGTACACTGTCATCCTTGGGTCTTTTGGTGAGATCAAACGAGGCCAGCGTTTCCGGTGTCCATTGTGCACTTGTCGGAGGGAATTCAAAAGGTACAGGCTCTACGAGACCGTAATTTGCTTTGAGTTCCAGCTGTGGGGCTTCTGTTGGAATTTTTTGAAAGTAACTGCAAAAAGCAATTTAAACAGCAATTCATTCATTCATTAACTACTTGAGCGGCTATTGTGTTCAAGGCCCTGTGCGAGAAAGAGACCATTTAATGATAGGACAGAGAAGATTCTCCTGCCTCATGCGGCGTGCATGAGTAGATGAGACACTCAGGAAACCTGTCCACTACAATGCAACGTAACAGAAGCTCTGACGGACATCACATGCCGTGAGAACATGCTGTCGGGGGAAGAGGGAGGTTCAGGAATGCTTTCCAAAACGGGTAAGGCAAGTTATACTAGGCATATTTGACGAAGTAAAAGGGCTCGGTATGACCAGGTGCGGCATGTTAAGGGGCAGACTATAAAGAGAAAAAGCAGGGACAAGACAGATTCTACCCATCTACATAGGTGGTCATCTGCAGTTTGAACAATGCTGACCTCACAATGGAAAACTGCTTGACAGGACTAGGCAGGATGGACAGAAAACCCATTTCCCTGCTTTACAGGTGGCTGTGAGCAGGATGGGATGCCTACGTGAGAGCAGCAGAGAAGCTCCATATAACTCGCAGGGAAGAAACACCAGGGAAATGAAGAAGAGAAAACTGAGACACTGTAAGTGAGCTCTTTGTTAATACCCTACGTTAAAATTGTAACATCTGCTTTTGTATGTATCAGAAGCAGGTTGAAGCGAGGTCCAACAGGAGGGAACTTTACCACCAATTTAAAGAGAAAATTCGAGTTGAGTGCAATGTGACACAAAGTGGGGCAGAGACTGACTGGGAGCCTGTGACAACAGTATTGCTATTTAAACGCTGTGACTGTAGATACACACGCTAGCATTCGTACTGCCAAAACACCGAGCTGTACTCACATGAACCCATTCTCTCTCTGACACTTCTCTAGGGTGTTTGTCACAAGATTTCCGAGCTTCCGAAAGAACAAGTGTCCTGAGGGTCTGACCGTTGGCCCAGGTCCCTTGGTTTCTCCATATTCTTTGCACAGTACTTCTGCCTTTGCATAAACTGCAGGTGAAAGGGATATAAAATCATCTGCTTATTGTTTATACTAAGGAAGCTTTAAGTCAGAGATGATGGCAACTTTTCTGCTCCTTACCTAGTGTGACAGTGATACCAGTAATAGAGTAAGGGAAAGGGGCTGTTTTCTACAGGTTTTCTGGTTTTTGAAACGTTGTTTCTCTCTCTCCAGTTCCTCACTTGAGTTCCCATCCTCTTTCATGAACTCAGCCAAAATCTCTTTTAACTGCCTATTTCTTTCATGATAAAACTTTTGTGTTTAAGAAGGGCGTTAATATTCTGGCAGCAATACTTACATTTTTCTGCTTCTTGGAGAGACCGGATTGCTTCGCCACATTTATCACTAGCCAACAAAGTCTGACCATGATAACAGTAAGCCTGATAAAGGAAGAAATTCTTATTCATTCTCTCCCCAAACAATGCTTTCTGCTATCATTGTTTTATAAATGCATCAGATGAAGCGGACCTTCATCCACTGTTTGAATATCAATGGCATCCCTTACATTTCTTTACTTGAATAAGCTTCCCCCAATCTCTGCTAGTATAAAAAAAGTGGGACTATGTCACGCTTTGAACCAAACTAACCTTCTAACCATGGGGTGAGAGGAAAAAGGATTTTCTTTTAACATATGTATATTTTTATTTTGGAGAGAGAACGTGAGCAGGGGAGAGGAGCAGAGGGATAGAAAGAGAATTCCAATCCCAAGCAGGCTCCGTGCTCAGCGTGGAGCCCAACGCGGGGTTCGATTCCAGGATCCTGGGCTGGGATCCTGACCTGAGCCAAAACCAAGAGCTGGATGCTTAACCAAGTGAGCCACCCAGACGCCCCGCAAAATTTAATGTTTGTGCTTTTTTTTTTTTAAGATTTATTTATTTTTGAGTGAGAGCGCAAGCAGGGAAGGGACAGAGAAAGAGGGGGACAGGAGACCTGAAGTGGGCTCTTCCATGACAGCAGCGAGCCCAAGGCGCGGCTAGAACTCACGAACCACGAGGTCATGACCTGAGCCAACATCAGACTCTCAACCAACTGAGCCACCTGGGAGCCCCAAAAGTACTTTTTTTTTTTTTTTAAATTTTTTTTTTTCAACGTTTATTTATTTTTGGGACAGAGAGAGACAGAGCATGAACGGGGGAGGGGCAGAGAGAGAGGGAGACACAGAATCGGAAACAGGCTCCAGGCTCTGAGCCATCAGCCCAGAGCCTGACGCGGGGCTCGAACTCACGGACCGCGAGATCGTGACCTGGCTGAAGTCGGACGCTTAACCGACTGTGCCACCCAGGCGCCCCCAAAAGTACTTTTCAATAATGAAATTGGTTTTTAAGATTTGGGCACTGCAGATAAAGGAGGGAAATTACTGTGCTAATGCAGAGGGACAGGGAGGGAGGATTCTAAGGTTAATAATAACTAAACAGGTTTCAAGAGAAAGGTTATTAGCCTGAAAAAGAACATGCTCACTCTAAATGTCTGTATCAAACCTAAGCATTGCACATGGTCCAACACTGTATGCCTGAAAACAGATCCCAAGGTAGAAGAAATAAAAGTATCTACCCGGGTCTGAAAAAGGTGTTTGATTATCTCTCACGTGATATTCTAACCAACAAACAAGTGAGTTTGTTTGGTGGGTGGAAGACACTGATAAGTAACTTCTAAAAGAGTGCTTATTAAGGTTTCTTCACAGACTGAGGGGATATGTTGTGTGGTATGCCTTAAGATCAGGATAAGTAAATATCTTCTTCAATGTACAAGATGAAAGGAGAGAATTCTCATTAAGTATACAGAGGTTCCAGCTTAAAAGTGGGTTTGAGGGGCACCTGGGTGCTTCAGTTGGTTAAGCGTCCAATTCTTGGTCTCAGCTCAGGGCATGACCTCATGGTTTGGCTTGGTGCTGACACATGGAGCCTACTTGGGATTCTCTCTCTCCCTCTCTCTCTGCCCCTCCCCCACTTATCTTCTCCCTCTCTCTCTCAAGATGAAAAAGTAAACTTTATAAATATAGACATAAATATATATATTTACATATTAATTTTATATTTACATAAACACACATAAATACATAAATAAAATAAATAAACTTTAAAAAGAAGTGGGTTTTAGGGGGCCTGCCTTGGTTGGTTAAGCATTCAACTTTGGTTCAGGTCATGATCTTGCAGTTTGTGAGTTCGAGCCCCGTGTTAGGCTCTGCTGACAGCTCGCAGCCTGGAGCCTGCTTCCGATTCTGTCTCCCTCTCTCTCTGCCCCACCCCTGCTCACACTCTCTCTCTCAAAAATAAATAAAAATTAAAGAAATAATAATAAAAAATACTAAAAAGTGGGTTTGAATCAAATAGTAATTCCATCACTATAACCCAGGGCTACAATTCTCCGTCATCTCTTTCCACCCACCTCAGCTCACAAGAGTTGCACTGGCTGTCGGTAAACATTTGACAGCTTTCCATTATTTATGCAATGCTAATTTACAAAATGACAGACCTAGCAAGCACGGGGCTAGAAAGACAGTAAATTTACACTGGTTTTCAGGTTATCAGTACTTACATAAGCCGTGTAGAAACACATTTTCAAGTGAAGATATTTTCTCCATTTAGCAGAGTATGCAGGCTCCAAACTGGATAAAGCATGATCTAAAGTTACATTTTAAAAAGCAAAATATAATTTCACCCCGATTCACTAGAAGATTTTTAGTTCATGTGTTCATGATCATTTAGTTCAGATGCTAAAAGCAGAATGCCATTCAAGTCTAAAACTCAAGCATTTACATATTTTCTAAAAAAAACTTTGCTTTAAAGTGATTTTCCCATAACTATACTTTAACTGCGTAATAAGACTGTTTGAATACCATGTCACCTCCTTTGATAGGTAATGCAACTTAGGCTTAAAATAATGATAAAAATAGAACTTTAAGAAAAATATAAATTACACTGTTACACTTTTTCCTTTCGTTATATAATATAGCAAACTGCATAGTGTGCTAACCCCAGTCAGCAGCAGACACTCTCCTTCCTGGTCCATCGCCCCAGGCTGAACCTTCCCTAACACGCACATTCACATCCTGCCAACTTCTCTCTCATCCATTTCTCCTCTGCTCCCTACTTCTCTGTTTTGTCAAAGCTTCTGTCCCTCCACAGACTACGATCCCTTCTTCCTTAACACTAAGTGGAGTCAGCCTTCACCTCACAAGCCCATTTCTCATCCTGCAATTATAGGGATTTTTTTTTAAATTTTTTTTTTTAACGTTTTTATTTATTTTTCAGACAGAGAGAGACAGAGTATGAACAGGGGAGGAGCAGAGAGAGAGGGAGACACAGAATCTGAAACGGGCTCCAGGCTCTGAGCTGTCAGCACAGAGCCCGACGCGGGGCTCGAATTCACGGACCGTGAGATCGTGGCCTGAGCCGAAGTCGGACGCTTAACCGACCAAGCCACCCAGGCACCCCTCTTTTTTTTTTTTAAACATTTTGTTTTTGAAAGAGTACAAGTGGGGGAGGGGCAGAGACAGGGGGACAGAGAATCCAATATGGGCTCTGTGCTGAGAGCAGTGAGCCTGATGTGGGGCTTGAACTCAGGAACTGTGAGATCATGACCTGAGCCGAAGTTAGGCTCAACCAACTGTCACCCAGGTGCCCCTATAGAGCTTTTCTAAATTCAAATCCAATCAAAACAGATTTGCTTTATACCTTTTCATGGGTCCATGATCTACCAAATAAAAGCCAAACTTCTAAGGCTACAAACCAATTCATGATCTCACACGTGCAAACTTTCCTAACCTTTTCTCCTATCACTCATCCTGTGCCTCAGCTAAGAGCATCTGTTTAAAGGTCCCAGAATGTGCCAAATTCTTCTATCTCTGTACATACTATAGAATGTTCTACTTTTCCCATATGCTAAAGCTTCCTAGCAAACTCAAAACTTCTATTTATATTTCAAAATAAGGCCCAAACACCACCTTCTCATAGAAAGCCTCCTCTAGCATGCCTGGATCCTTGAGGTTTTCATTTCACTGCTGTAGTCACATCTTATCTTACGCTATTATAATGTGGTTACACATTTGTTTCCTTCCCTAGATGTGACTCTGTCTATACACTGATCTTTGTATAGCTAGCAACTCGAGTAGTAACCATCCCATAAACAAAAATAAATGCATGTTTCCTGAATAAGTGAATGAAAAGAATAACAGGCTACTGAGAAGACCTGAGTTCTAGTCCTAACTTCCCAGCCTGCTAACAGTTAAATTATAGGTTAGTTATATTAATTCTCTGGAGTTTGGTTTCATGACAACCATAAGGTTATTATAAAGACCCAAAAAACTTCAAAACTAAAACACCTGTGTAATTATTACATATAACTGGTTACGAACTATAACACTGGCCTCTCCATTAACAGTTATGCAGCATATTAACTGTGAACAGCTCTCATTCTTTTAACCAAGATTAATAAAATAATGTGGACATTATTCCAGTTTTGCAAATGAAGAAATAACCTAGAGAATCTTTTTGTTTTGCTTATTCCCTATTAAACCATGAGCTTAATCTGAACATCTAAAGACTAAAAATACAACAAGAGAATTATAAACTCACCAGCTTTTTGATAGAAGTTGGCCGTCTCATATGCCAGTGCAGCAATTAGGCCGGGCGCGTGTTTCAGTTCAATTGCTCGAGCGATTGTTACTGTCACCAAAGCACAGCAAAGTGAATGCATAATTAAGTTCACTTGCATTCATACTAAGTTAACTGTAATAGCAAAAGCCATGCCAACAATCTATTTGGCATTTTAACAATTTGTCAAGAATTTTAACAGGAAAAGTAAGTTACAAAAAGTGCAAACAGAAACAGAAAACACTAATAAGCTTGCTGGTTCTGACACTATTTCTTTAAATCACTAGCTAATTACTAGATCACAAAAAACTACTACTACAAAGTAGCGTGTCAGAGGAAAACGAATCCCTCCAGGGCACTGGAATTTGAAAGAAAAACAAAAAGCCTACAAAGTTTCTTTGTTGCTTTTACAGAAGTCTTCATTTATTTCCTGCCACTGAAAGGTGAAGAAAGGCAAGGCAAACAGTGGAAGAGAAAAAGAAATGAGCAAGGGAGATCAGGGAAAAGAGGAGCTACATAATTCATCTGTTGCTGTCAGAAATGGCACGAAATTAAAATCCTTCTTAAAAGATCCGTTAAACTGCAAGGCCTTTTCCTATAAACCATGCATGAAGGCAAATGCTGACAGTGAAATTATTCCTCACTAGAAATTTCTCAAGATGTGAAACTCAAATTCAGCTAATTCTGATTAAAAAAAAAGAATTAGATGCCAGTAGAGATTTCTTAAAAAAAAAAAAAAAAAAAAAAA